AGGTTTCATAGCAACTAGGATCAACATTTTTATCATATATGTAATGCTTACATATAATTATGCTCCCATCAACCATAACATTTGTGCTGAAATATTCAAAAACTGTGAGAACATAATCCTTGTTTCAAGGAAGAGAATAAGTGAGTTTCTTATTGATAAAATTGACAAAATTTTAATGTTTAAAACACTAAAAGTTAGTCATACCGTGGGGAATGTGTTGTTGGTGTAGGAGATGATCATGCACTTAAAAGGAAGTGCTTTCTATTTGCATATACATAGATAACACTTTTTTAGAAGCGCTATCTATTAATAGACATCGTTCAAGTAGAGAACGCTTTTTAAGCGCTGTCTATCATTAAAATAAGCTCCATCTATTGATGTTTTTGAGATAGATTAATGGGGTATTATTTCGTCAAGAGATGAAAAAATAACCACACAACTGTTTATCTAGAAAGTTCCAAGTGTTGGGAAATGTTGTGGTGTTGTAAGCTTGGCCATTATAAATAGAGGTGTCGATAGATTTGTCATTGCACTTCCATCTATATTTTCTTCACTCAATATCGAATACTCTACTTCTCATTTCAAGTTTGAGTTGAAGAGTTATCCAACCTTTTGCTTCAGGCACATGGTTTCTTTATTGTTGTTTCACTTTGCCAAAGGGTGCTGGAAGTAGGGATGTCAAAGGGGCGAGACGGGTATAGGTAATAGACCCCCGCTACGTGTCCCTCTAGATAAATATTTGTTTCTTACTCATCCTCATATCCATGTGGGTATCCGTTAAACAAGTCTTCACATATTCTTTTAATATCTACGAGTATCCATGAATATTTATTTTTAAAAAACAAATAATTTTTTAACAATGTTTTAAGAATCATTTCTATTTATTCTAATATTTTCTTCAAAAATAAAAATTTAAAAGTCAAAACTTAAAATTGTCAAATTTTATACATAATTTTATTAATCAAGATTCTTCAACTTAAAAACTAATTTAATTTTTAAAGCACTTTATTCTCATAAATTTAAACACATTTAATACGTAATTATGTAATTGAATATTAGCGGATACTTGCGATACAAATACTATGATACTCATACCCATCTTGTTAATATGCGGGAAGAAAAAACACTCATACTTATTACTTGCAAATACTCATTCACAATATTCATTTTCTAATCATAGCGAATTTTATCCATGGATATCCGTGGATACAAGTTTTCTTGACATCCTTAGTTGGAAGCATCTTCTAAGGAGTTCAAATTGTGAGATGAGCAAGTTGATCAGTCCATCTCATCAATGCCCTTTCAACTTCATTTGATGATAGATCTAATGCATCTTGGAGGGACTCACCTTTGAAAAACAAATGCTTATCGAATGGGTAGGTAATACGTACTAATTTGGCAGTCAATGACAACTAAGAAGTTGGTTTTGTGGCTACTCCATATGAGGTGATTGGCATTGTGAGTACTAAGGAATAACACGAGTTTGAACCGTTAATGTGTAGGTCTTCGAATGGACAACCACGACATCGATGTATTGTTAACCAATAAAAGTATCCTATAATATCTATACCAGGCTATGAGTGGGTGGATGGGGAAGTGGTCTCAAGTTATGTCTAGTTCAATGACAAGAGGTCTTTGGTAAATTTTAACTCTTACATTACAATTTCCAACAACGAAGATGAGGATCCCTATCTGGTTGTCATTAGATGTTGATGGACCAATGCCATCCTGAACCTATATTGTACCTTTTTGGGTAAAGGGTTGGTTGTGAACAATTTCTACATTATGAATAATTACCTATTCTGGGACCTTGGTTTGGTGCTACCTTTTGATGATTTCACCATAGGTGTTCTCAAAATTCTAAATGTGGCACCTACTCGAATACATATGAATGATTGTGTGGCAGTGTAGGTGTGTCACAACCTATGCTAATACATCCATATGAAAATCACATGAAGCCTTTTCTTGCATTATTTTTGTGCTCAACCAAGCAACAAACCAAATTGGGTATCTTTTGTTCAACATGCCGAGACACCATCACTTGACCCTTGCACCACTTCATACAAAAATTTAAAGTTTGGATATTTAAAAATGATAATTTATCTCGCCATCAAAAATAAGTACTTTTATGACTGAGAAAAGAAGTCATTTTTTCATTTCTATTAGGATTAGGTGTCAAGGCATTAGGATGAGTACTCAACCTCTTATCTATTGAACGAAAAGAAGGAAAACTTGCCCTTTCTTGTGATGCTCTTACAGTGCCTTCTAGCAAAAAAAAATGTCCTTTTACCCAATTCTTCTAACATTTTAGGGGGTTTAAATGGTAAGATTTAAGTCCTTTTTAAATAACATGTTTTCTTCTTATATTGATTGTTGACTCCTTTGTGTTGGCAAGAGTTATTGTGACAGTAGGTACCAACTCTCTTACATTTCAAAATATTTGTAAGAATTTAATCTAAGAGACTGTTGTTGTTACTTATCTAGGTACCTCAATAGCGGTTTCTCTTGTTTAAGTACCTCAACCCCCCCTTCAGAAAAAACTTCCCCTTTAGTTGTTGATAAAACATGTTTAGGAAAACATAAGACCCATAAGGAGTCCTAAAAAAATGATCGAGAAAAGAAAAGTCAAAGATTGGTCCAACCACCATCAGCACTCAGAAAAACTTAAATAAGAACCTTTGGCTTTTTCAGGCCTCTTTCCATTATTAGTTATGGCTTCTTGTTATCTAACTTCAACTCCCAACTACTATTAAGCTAGAACTTCATATATTCCCATGGGTGTGAACTTTTGGGTCATGTTGATTTCGTTGCCAAATGGGCTTATTTTTGTGTGCTACAAGCTCAGTCCATAACAATGACTCAACATATTTTTATGAAGCCAACCATGGGCACTAAAAAACATAGAAAAGCCTTGAAGGACTTTGAGAAGCCCATTCGAGATGTTATTTATGCCAATATTGTACCAATTGACACCAATATAGAGCTAGAGGTAGATGTGGCGAGACTTCAAGGTTGACTTGGGATTTGGAGGTGAAGTTGGAAGAGTTTGAAAAGACTAAGACAAGAAGTGCCTAGTAGGTTGTTGGTTTATGCAAGAATGTGGCCAAGCTAACCTAAGAAAGAGAGATACAAAGGTCGAACATGAAAAGTACTTGAGGTATATATACTTAGGTTAAGATTTGTAAGCTGCACGAGGAATGCATCAAGCATTTTGTCCAATAGGCTATGTATTTTTACCAAGTTCTTGAGGCTTTTCACTTTAAACAATGATTTTTATAAGGGTGCCTTTGTGAACTATGACAACATCCTGAAAAGTGAGAAATTAGATGACAAAATTCTTGTTCTCACTAGTCAACTGAGTATCCCCTAGGATGATGCTAAACAAATAAACAAAGAGGGGAATGATAATGACAACGATGTTTGTAGTGAGGATGAAGATGAGGGGAGTCTAGATGTTGTCATATATTTTCATTTTTTTTTAGAGTAAAATCACCAGTTTTTTTTTTTATGTACCACCTTACCATTAGAGTTGTTTTTTTTATCAATGAATGATGAACTTTCTCAAGTATAACTTGTGTATGACTTTTACTATTTTTTATTCTTCATTGTGCTAAGTTATAAACACACCAAAGTCTATATCCTCATCCTAGTAGGAGTAGGGGTGTGTATGATTTGGTTTTTTAAAAAAACTCACTCTACATTGTACTGTACTATTTTATCGAATTGAACTGATTTATGGACTATTTGAACAACATAAATAAATTGGTTCAAAACTAAACCAATATTATAAACAAGTTTAGAATTGGTTTCAAAACCAAATCGATTTCAAATCAAATTTAAGTACTAGATTAGTTTTAAACTAGTTTGTTTTTAAATTTTTTTTCAAAATTGTAAACAAAGTCACGATTAATGCACTCTATAGAGACAAATTATTATTTTTTACTAGTTAGACATTTAGCTTGAAGAGTAATTGAGTAGATAATCACATCATATTAGGTAGAAAATTTTTTATTTTATTAAAAAAAAAGTTTACACAAACTCATGGAAGTTAACTAAAATCCATTAAAGAATTATATTTATCATGTGAAAAATTAATGATAAAGCATGATTTGATAACTGATATTTACTTTAATAATCTAAAGATAATCAAAAAGAAAAAATATATACACAATATTCAAACATTTTATGTGACACTATATTACTAAAATGTGAAATATAAAAGATATAAGTAAATTATTTCAATTTAATTTTATTTCATTATTTAAAAATCGGTTCACTCAACCTAATTATCAATCTAGTTCAATTTTTGAAATTAAGTTTATGTAAACAATGTTGCTTTATTTAGGGGTTTTTTCCCCCACATCCTAGTAAGATATTTGAAAGGAAGAGTAATAATGTGCCAAGAGGTTTCCCTTGTGAGTTGTTGGTTTCTTGCAGGGTCTGCATTTGGTTATGGTGTGTGCATACGCATGGTGACTTCTTGGTTTCTATAGTTTGCGGTGGATTTCATTCTGGTTTGTGGTGCTTGCTGTGAGTTTTACAATGGTTCGTGGTGGCTTTGAATTTATTGTCTACTTTTGCAAGTTGCACGTTGTTTCTATGGAAGTTATTGATGACTTTGACATTTTGCCTTGAAGTGAGGGAAATGGTGTCACCCACTTTGGAAGGCTGTGGTTCCAACAACAATAAGAGAAAAGTAAAAAATGCGAAGGAGACAAGAAATGAATTTCTCAACCTTCCATTTTAAAACCATGATCTCTAATGGACAAAAAATCTCACACATGAGAGACTTCAACTCTATCACCATGGCCTCTACATTCCAAAAACCCATTGGTTCAAAACTTTCTTTTTCTACAAATTAGCCATCAATGAATTAATTATTTGTCTTCAAGTCATAGAGAACTATGACCGTGACCTTGATTTGGAAGTACTAGTTCTCTAATCTATGTCTAACCAAACATGAAACCTAAATTAATAAACCTAAAAAGAGATCACCGATGTCAAATGAATTTGTTTCCCGTCTGTTTTGTTCTGTTAAAAAATTATTCTCTCTACGAATATACATCATCACCCTTGTTACCCTTTCTTTCAAATCAAAAGAAATGAGTGAAAATCAACATGAAACATTCTTTGTTTGCATGCTAAAAAGATGGTTCAACTATTCACCAAAAAAAAAAAGTGGTTCAACTTGATCAAGCTACAACATTAACATGGTTTGATATGAGTGGTTTTGGTGTCATAGCATCCTAGTTCCAACCCCAACCCCAACCCGTTCTTGCACGCGCCCTTCAAAACCTTAATCAAATCAACGCACATGCTCCTCACGTGCTCCCCCCACCCCCTCTGCATAACCAACAAAATCACCGCGACGCCGTTTCGCTTCGCCACGTCATCCCTCACCTTCGCGCTCCCGCACAAACAGCAGAGACTCCACAGCACCGCCACCGCGTCCTCCGCCGCGCCCTTCGGCGCTCTCGCCACCCTCTCCACCACCGCCGCCGCGCAATGCTCCTCCGCCGCCATCGCCGCCCGCCCCTCCGCGCACGTCGCCGCCACCGCCAACACTCTCAGACACCTCTCCGCCGTCGCCGCGGAACACGCTCGCAGCAACTCGGAAACCGCCGCGACGACTCCGCAGTTAACGAGCTCCACCTTCGCCGAGTGAGTCACCGAAACGACACCTAGCAACGACAAAACGGCGTCGTTTAACTCCTCCTTACCTTCATCCTTTAAAAAACTCGCGAGCAGCGAGAAGAAACCTCGAGTTTCCGCGACCGATTTCTTCGCTTGGAAATCGCTCCTCGCGAGAAACTCCAAAACCCTAACCGTTTCAACCTTCGATTTCGGAGATCCGTTTTTCAGAACGGAAGCCATCGAGTCAAAGCATTGTTCACGAGCGTCGAGAATCAGCTTCCGGATTCTCTCCGAATTTCCGTGTTCGCGGAGAACCGAGTCCAGAAGGTAGATCGCGTTTTCCGAGGCGTCGGTCCGCGCGGCGCTTACGGCGAGCGCGCGGACCACGGCGGAGTCGAAGCCGGTGCAGGCGGCGAGCAAGCGGCGGTTGTCGGCGGAGGATTTGGCGAATTCGGCGATTTTGGCGAGTGCACCGGCGAGGTCTTGGTCGATGGCGCGGAGGAGAGCGCGGAGGTGGTCGGCGGAGGGGCGGGGCTCCGGCGAGGGAGGTTCGGCGGAGAGGAGCCAGAGGCGGATGAGGCGGTGGAGCGTGAGATTGGGAATGAAGTCTTTGGAGGGAAGGACCTGCATGGTGGCGGGACACGTGTCGTGTCCTAAGTCGAGCCATCGCTGAATGCTGGTGCGATCGTATGTGACGCCGGTGCAGAGGCTTACGGGGGACCTCATGACGTCCATGGAGATCGGGCACCGAAAAAGACTCGGAACGGTGACGTATAGCTTATCCCTTACCTTTGCCATTCTTTTTTTTCTTTTCTCTCTGAATTCTTTGGTTTCTCTGTTTCTCACACAGCACAAACTATGAGAGAGGGAGCGTTGGGAGAGAATTAAGATAGAACACTAGTGTGGTAGTAGTGATTTGATTTGTGTGTGGTCCATTTAAACGGGTGTGAGGTCCTTGGTCAAACTTTGTCTGTTATGACAATGGCACTCTAACAGGAAAACATGAGTCACAGAGAGGGAATTCAAGAGGAAAACGACATCTTTCATTGTTTGACCCATCAAAATTTTCAAAAACTTTGAGCTGCAGTTTGGACTGCTCTTCGTCTTTCACTAGGGGACCCCAAACGCTCCATCATTTTTTTTTTTGAATTCGGATATTATTTTGAGGGTAATAATACCATAACTCATTAATATTTAGGGTAATTAAGAAGGTGTGAATTGGATATTAAGGTTGTTCATATTTCATAAATATGAGTAGTTTTGAATTGAGAAATAAAAATATTAAAACATGTCAGCAAAATTAATGGGTTTATATAGTATTTTTAAGGTGTAGTAGAATATCCGAAGATGGTATTAATTAGCTTTGAAGGTAGTTCTCCATGAAAAAGATGTAAAGACTGAAGTAGCATGGATGGCAAACAGTAAATAATATATAAATTACAAAAATGTTACTTATAATAGAGAAGAATAATATATAAACTAAGCAAAAGGATAAAATAGCGTATTATAGATATGTCTCAAACAAATTATTAATATATATAGAGATAATTACTTAGTATAAAATTTTTTTACGCTGACAACCAATTATATCTTTTAAATGTATCATGTCATTATAAACAGATTTACTTTTAACAGTGACACGTGACACAATTAAATAATATAATTAGTTATCAGTGTAAGATGATTAACTTTTATATATAATCACGGAAGGAATGTAACAGAACACTCAAAAAGCAAAACAGAAAACATTTTATTTTGCCTGTTTTCTCATAGGGTTTCCCGTAAGAACCCGTAAGAACCCAAAGAGCACTGTAATTCATATTAGAACTAATCTAATTTCAAAATCAAATACATATTTACACTATACATCACACAAGGAACGTAACAGAACATTCAAAAAGAAAAACAGAAAACATTTATATTTTGCCTGTTTTCTCATAGGGTTTCCCGTAAGAACCCACAGAGCACTGTAATTCATTTTAGAACTCATCTAATTTCAAAATCGAATACATATTTACACTATATATCACACAAGGAATGTAACAAAACATTCAAAAAGCAAAACAGAAAACATTTATATTTTGCCTGTTTTCTCATATGCGTTATGGGTATTTTAATTTTGTAACACCCCGATTGTCACAGATTATATGAAGGCCCAAAGCCCATTAAGAATGATTTAGTAGCCTAGAACGGGTCGTTCCCAAACTGGAACGGGCCGTTCCAAACTACTAAAAAGGCTTATAAACTCTAGTTGGGAACATGTTTTTCTAAATTACCAAAAAGTCTTGTAACACTAGTTGGGAACGAACCGTTCTGATTTAAGAACAGACCGTTCCAAACATGGTCGTTATGGGTTAAAATGCAACCCCAAAACAGGTCGTTTTGGTTTGAGAACGGGCCATTCTAGATGTGAATTTTACACATGATGAATGATTCCAGAATGGGCCATGCTAGATTTGAAACGGGCCATTCCGGCCACTCCTGATGCCTATAAATAACACGCTATGGCACTCCCAAAAGCACACCTTTCACTTCTGACTTCTTTTTCTTCTACACTCTCTGAACACTGAGGGGAACCCAAAAGAGGAGACCAACCAAATCTTGCATTAGTTTCAGCTACTACTTATCGAGGTACGAGGAAAAAGGGGATTGAAAAGGGGATTATTTGTATGCAAAGTTACATGAGGGAATTGGGTAGAGGAGGAATCTCGTAGGATTATGGGTAATTTTATAATTATTTCTGTTTGAGGAATTGATTATTCCATTAGAGTTTGCATATATTAAGGATTAGAAATATGTAATTAATTTGTAAAAATGATGATCTGGGAGAGAGAACGAAACTATAGAAAAGTGTCTGTGAGTTAGGTTTTGGAAAAATTTGGGGTTTTACTATTTGAGTTAAGATTCTATTAAAATTGTGATTCAATTGAGTGTTATATTAATTTATAAATGTTATCATTATATTATATGGTAAAAATTTGATGATCTAGATGTGGATTCATGGTGAATTTCTTGAGGGGTATGTGAACCATTGTATTGTGTGGACTTATCTATATTGTGTATGTGATGTGGAATTGAGTTATGTACTGTGGTGTGATGTCTTGGCACAAATGTATACATATTGTATCTACCATTTTAGCATTGAATTGATAACATGATGTGGCGAATGGTATATTATGGCTTAATTTTTCAATTAATTATGATGTGAGTATGTTAACATGAAATGTGATGTTGTATTGAATGTGAATGTGATGTGATTGTGGTTCCTCACACTTATGACCAGAGATGGCACGACCCTTGGGTAAGTGATGCTACAGGGATGGCGTGACCTTGGCATAATGTGGGATGTGTGATGCAATTAACACGTATCACTTATGTCAGATGTGGCGTGACCTTGGCATAGTGTTAATTGTAAGATTTGTATTGAATGTGAATATGATGTGATTGTGGTTCCTCACACTTATGACCAGGGATGGCACGACCCTTGGGTAAGTGATGCTACAGGGATGGTGTGACCTTGACATAATGTGGGATGTGTGAGGCAATTAACACGCATCACTTATGTCAGATGTGGCGTGGCCTTGACATAGTGTTAATTGCAAGATTTGTGATGGATTGGTGTGATTGTGAATTGTGATGTGAAGATAATGTATGATTGATAAAATTATGATATATAGAAATGCTTGTGTATATTTCATTAAGTAATGAGTTATGATGAGATTATGTTGTGTTTTTCTTTGTGTGCTTTACATATAGATGTTTTCTTTTCTCACCGTATAATTTGTGGATGTTTTAGGTGAGGAAGATCAGTTTACGAGTGGCATCCAGAATGCCAACAGTTGAGTTGTGGGTGTGCTCTGATATTGTGACATCGGGGCAGAGGATTTCTAGGATATGGACATTTATATGTATTTGGAGTTGTACTTATTATTTTAAAAACAATTTGTAAACTCTTATGTTATTTCAACGGAGAAGAGTTATATTTTCTTATTATATATAACAAAAAAACCAAGGACTTATGCCCTCTTTTTATTAATAATGGAGATTAATAGTAAATTTTTCATATTTTTGTAAAGGAATGTTTTCTTTCAACATAATATCATGAATATAATTAAAAAAGGTAATGATTGTTTTGAACATATCATTTTTTTTAAACATTTAAACAACATATTTATCTTTATTTCTTATCTTATCCCATCAAATCATTCATTATTATTATTATTATTATTATTATTATTATTATTATTTGTATGTATATATAACTTTTATCGATTCTCTCTCTCAATGTCATATAGTATTTGAGTGGTTTATTAGAGATGGTCAAGCAATGGAGTGTTAAATTAAAATATTTTGATCCTTTAACTTTTGTTTTTGTCATTAAAAATATACATTCATATCAACTTGAGGGAAAACATTAATATCAAATACTACATATACTTCTTCCTATTCATTTCTTTAGTGGTTTAAGATTGCGCACTTAAATTAATAAACATTTAATAGATATAAATTTTGACTTAAACAACCTTATTTAATATTCCATTAGCGAAAATACAAATTCTTACTTATTAGCGTACTCATTGGTTGTGTGACCCATTTTTTTTTTAGTACAAATAAGTTAGTAATGTTTATTAAATAGGGATATAATTGAAAAAATAGGACATATTTGCTATTGAAATTCTAAAACAATAATTGTTTTAAAGGGTAAACCCACCGAAAAATTGGGAAGGAGGGAGTAAAATATATCGACAGAAAGCAGCAATTTTTTAATATAAAATTTTGTTAACAAAGCAGTATATGATTGCCTTTTAACTTTATTCCTTATTACATGTTCTCATTTAAGTCATTCATAATTTTTTTATTTTTATTTTTTTAGTATAACGCGCATATTATTAAGATATGTTGCATCAGCCTTAACTTGTTCTTATTCATAATGGAAATTTGGGTGGGTTCGGCTATATGAGAGCATACAAGTTCATGGGAGTGATGTAAGTGGCGGGATACCTGCCTTAAAAAGTGGAGTCAGTGAATTCACAAAACTCTCTGGTCTTTGTGGAATTTCATTAAGTTTGACCATTGACGAGCCTTGTTCTTGTTTTCTTCTTCCCACAAGTTATGAACTTTGTAACTGACTAAAATCACAAGCAAGTTTTCCACAAATAATAACTTACCCAAAACCTCAACCACTCCCTTGACTCTAGAACCTCACCTACCTTTGTTTGACAAAATCAAAATCACGAGTCAAGCACCACTGAATTGAAATTAACGTTCTTCTTCTATTTTATACTAGGAAAATTCATTTGAGAAAATTATATATTTAACCTGTGTTGGATCGATAACATCAGCATCTATAGCATAATATAAGATGGCAATAATTATGCATGAAAAATGTATATTAAGTACTGACCTCAGAAGCCGTCCATGGATAGTACAGGATCATTTAAATGAATAGGTTACATTGGCCTGATCAATTATACAGTTATTTTATTAAATTACAATTTTATAAAGGATATTATTTTGAATGGTTGATTGTTTTCTTATTCTTTCAAGTTTTTTTTTTCTTTTCTTGTTTCCTCTCAATTATTTTCCATTCAACTTTAAGTTAGGTTAGGCTTGTCATTGACGTTTAATAGGGAAAAGAAAAATGATTGTCCTATTCTAACGTTTAGAAGGCTAAATTAGTGTCTGACCATATTTTTAGTTGAGAAAAATGTTACATAAAATATCTAACCACACTTATAGTTTCGGTTAGGTCCCCGTGTTATAGTTAGGTCTTAGGTGGATCTATTATTTGTTTTTATTAATGATTAATTCTTGTTAAAATCTTAATTAACTAATTTTAGTAGTGTATTTTTTTCTCTCAATTATATTGTTTTTTATCAATAGGATTTAA